TCCAAAGCAGAGGGGTCAAGGGTTGGGGTCTGGGGCCCGCTACCTGGTGTGGCAGCCTGCTCCTATCAGCTGGGGCAGGCTCCTTGGCCACAGCAGGCCCCGTTCATAAAAAAGTAGACAAAGTAGCACCAACCTCCTAGGTCTGCTGTGAGGGTCAGAGGAAAATGTCACCTGACGTTCTCATGTGCCCACTTGTGCCCAGGAAGCATTCAGTGAAAGTTAAGCCATTTTTCCAACTATTTTGAAATAATTTGAGGAGGGAATCTAGCTCCTAAGGTTCCTTTCTTGATTGATGAATGAGGTCTTTTGTTCCTACCGACCACGAATCTGGGTGAAGATTCAGTCCTGCAACAGATTCTGAGCGTCCACTGTATATCAGGCACTGTTCTCGGCATTGGGAATTCAGCTTTGAACAAAACAATGTCCTGTCCTCTTGGAGCATCCAACTTAGGAATTCCAGCACAGGTTAAGGAAAAAAGACGGTGGTTTCTGATACAAGGCACTGCAGCCTCAACTACATGAAAGGGAGCTGTTCTGAGCATGGATGTGGCGGTGTGGAGAGGGAACCACCCCTTACAGGGGGCCTGCCTGGACTTTGGTACATCATCTGTTACTAACAACCTCCACAATCCTTTATGTTATAGATATTGTCAGCCTGGTTTTACAGAAGAGGAAGCTAAGCCTTAGAGAGGTTTAGAAACTTGCCCGAAGTCACACAGTAGTGGCAGAGGCAGGGTTCAAATCCAGATCTTCCTCTCCAAAGTCCACACCCTTTCCATGACGCTAAGCTGATGAATTTCCTCTGTTCCCTGGCCTTGCCGCAGCCCCTGGGCTGTTCCTTAGAGCTGGCTGTGTGTCAGGCATGTGGAGGTTCGAAAGAGGCAGGAGGCCCCATCTCCATCCAGTTCTAAGACACCTAGGTACCACACTAACATAGACTGCAGTGGGATCAGACAGTGGCATAGACAGGGGAGGTGGGGTTCAGAAGAGAAATGAATTCCACCTGGCGGGATCTGGGACAAAACTTCCCCCAGGAGGTAGCTTTGGAGCTGAACTTTGAAGAATGACTTAGATTTTTTGCACAGCACAGATACTGGAGAAGGGGATTCTAGGAGGCAGACACAGCAAAGCAAAGGCCAAGAGGCAGGAAGGCAGATGATGAATTTGGGACCAGCCATCCTTTGTGACTGGAGCCTAGAGGTGGATGTGGAACCCAGAGGGTCAGGTTGTCGCCAAGTCATGGAGGACCTTGAGCACCAGAATGAGGAGTTTGCCCTCCATCCCAGGGAACTGGGAGCCGGCAGGGGTTCCTGAGCCCAGAGAGCTGTGCTTTAGAGGCCCTTTGGCTTTTGAGAACCTGATCTCTCTGGCCAGCACTGAATGATAAACAGGAAGGAGCTGGACCCTGAAGGAACACATTTATTTCATCTAAGCAAACATTTACTAAGCACTGTCTCCATACCAAGCACTGAAGTTGGTTTCAGGGCAGACTAGAGATTGGAGACGGAGAAGAGAAATAAAATCAATCCTAGGCACTGCCCCGTCAGAACACCCCGGCTGACTGGGGATGAGTGACTTGGGTACTCACTGAGCTACCAGAGAAGGGCCAAGTGTTGTGAGCCCCCAGGAGGAAGGTGGTTCTCAGCAGATGGGATGGGGGAGGCTTTGTGAAGAAGGGCTTTTGTTCCAGACCTTAGAAGCTTCTAGATACAGAAGTCACACAGATGGAGGAGGAGGGTGATCATTCCAGAGACTAGACGAGTGAGGCACAGCCCCTGCCCCCACCAGCTCTTCCAGTGTCCTCGTGGGGAAGGAGAACATGAAGGTGGGGTCACCCTGGTCACCCACAGGGCCCCACCTCTTAGCGTTGAGACCCTAGAGTGCTTCTTCACCTTCTCTGGGCCCCCAGTCCCTCACTCATTACGCACAAGGTGGCAGGGTTATTGGGAGGGTTAGAGCTAGCATGGCTGTGTGGGACGCTGTCTTCTGTCACTGGCAGTGACCCAGCTTAAGGGCCAATTTGGAATTGGTATACAGTCTATAATACAAGTAGGAAGGGGACCACCAGTGTCAGAGGCTAATCTAGATGGAAGAAAGGCCTCCAGAAGATGGGGACACCTGAACTTGGTCTCAAAGGATGAGGCCTGTCAACAGACAGGAACTTTTGGAAGGACATTTGGGCTGTCACAAAGGGGCCATCTCACCTGCCCTAGAGACAGAGGCTGGTGGAACCATTAATAGGGCCACTTCTCCCACTGCCACCAGGGGTCTTGGGCCCTATCATCCTACCAAAGGCAGAAGGGCTCCTGAGGCCTGGCCTTGCCCCCAAGTCTCCCCTCCCTCCTACGGAACTCTCACTTCCATTTGTAATTGCCTATAGGTGGAATTAATTAGGTTCTGTCTTTCTAACAATGCACAAGAGTGGCATATTTTTTCTCTAAATGTGGATATTCTTTTGAGGACTGTGTCTTTATCTTTTGCAGAAAATCACTAAATTAAAAGAATTGCCATTTTTAATTGCAGATTAAAGAGAAACTTAATTAGAAGGAATGAAAGCAATTGTGTTTGGAGCTTTTGTTCTTAACAGTTTTTTTTTTCTCTTGTGCCGCTGAATCACTGCACTTGGAGTTTGTATATTTTTATTTTAGGTGAAATGATTTGCCTAATTAAGCCTGTCATTCATCACCACCTGTTCCCTCTAAAATGTATGGCTATATTATTAAGCTTGCAGGCGAATGTGTAAATTAATTCAGAGGGGAATTACAGCGTTGACTGGGACGTTATTAGGTTTTATCCAATTTATCTGGTATGAAAACCGATATTTTTCCCCAATAAAGTGAAACAGCAGCTCATTAAGTTCATTCATTCATGGAACACCTACTATGTTGTGGGTGTGTGCTAGGCATGAGGGGTTAGGGCAAATATGGTACAGCCCCTGCCCTTGAGGGGCTCATGAGGAGCCAAACAAGGATGCTAGTGCTTAGGCCAAGATCAAGCTAAAGTCTGGGAAGAGGGTGAGGTCAGGGAAGGCTTCCTGGAAGAGGTGACTCCTGAAGAGCAATCAGGTGGACAGGTTGGAAGAAATCAGGACGGGAGGCAGAGAGCATAACCTGGAAGGGGGCATGGTGAGACCCGAGACTAGACAGGTAACCAGGTCCTAAGGTCCAACCTCAGCCTGGAATGTCCTTACCTCAGATGTCCCCCTGGCTTGCCTGTCCTTCCCTCCAGGCATTTATTTAGATGTCACCCTCAAGGGGCCTTCCCTGCCCTGCTTTTGTTTTGTCCAGACCACTCAGCACCAGCGGGTGTGTTGTGAAGATTTCACTTGTTGTCTGTCTTTCCTCACTGGGACTCTGACTGCTGAGGCAGGGATTTCTGTGTGTCTTGCACACTGTTGTTTCCCAGCCCTGAATTGTACCTGGCACGTGTGAATGAGAGTCTAGGAGTGGGATAGGTGGACAGACAGCCTGCTGGACCCGGGTGTAGTCATGAGAGTGACCACACACACGGGTCCAACGTGTCTGGAGCCTTCTGTTGGCAGGAACCTCTCCGCTGTTTTCCATAGTGATTAATGCAGAAGAGTATCTCAGCAGGGAGGAAAAGCTTTGCAGTCCTGATGGATAGCCTTGCTCCATGGCTGAGGCATACAAGTGCATTCAAGTTCCTCGGTCCCCAGGGACAGCACGTTACAGTCAGGGCAGGTGTTTCCTGCCACCTTCTGTGAATGTGAGGTTGATCACTATGTGTCTGGCTGGGGTTGGAGGACTGCTTGCCATGTCCATGCTTGCTGGCTAGGGGCAGATTTCTGCCAATGTGTGTCTGTGGGCCTGGGGCTGCTCATGGCCTTGGGAACACGGTCTGTAGGCCCTGACCCAGTTTACTCAGCACACTGTGTGTTTCAGGCCCTTGGGATGTATTCCCTCATCTGATCTCCACAGCAGCCTGGTAAAGTAGGGAATGGGGCCTCAGAGAGGTTGAACAGCTTAGCCAAGGCACACAGCTAACCACTGGCCAGCTTAGGAGGAGGACTCAGGTCCATTTGGAAGCTTCTGTGAAGTGCTTACTACTGTGCCCACACTGAGCACAGACTACATGCCAGGCACTCTGCTGAGATCGCTGTGCATCACCTGCCGGAATCCTCACAACAACCCCGTGGAGGGGTACAGTCATTATCCCTATGTTTCATATGAGGAAACTAAGGCCCAGAGAGATTATTTGCAAGGTGGACCAGCTGGTCTCCAGGAACGCTTGTAGCAAATCCAATTTCAGCTCATGTTTTCTGCTCTTTGTTCAGTATCTCCAGGGTCCTGCCCTCAAGTGGCACCCTCCATAGTCCATGGGGTGAATGACACTCTCACAGGTCCAGGGCAGAGAGGAAAGTACACAGGGGGAGGGCCCGTCCCACTGTGCCAGGCCTGCTGCAGCCTCCCCTGGGTGCTGGGCCCAGGACGTGGCAGGCTATGTGTGGGGCCCACACAGGGGCCTGAGTGAAGAGAAGCAGATCTGTGTGATACAGCACGAGCCTCCATTGAAACTCTCTAGTAGAGAGTCCCAGGAGAAAGAGGGCAGATGTGGCCAGTACAGCTCCAGGTGGGGTGGGAGAATGGGAGGAGGAAAGGAGCCACTCGGAGGCAGGTTTTGGCACAAAATGTGGAAAAGCTTTCTCCCTGAGAGCTGACTATGAGACTGAGCACCCTCGGAGTGCTATGCCCCCTTTTGATGGAGGTTGCAGGAGGGTTCCTTTGAGAATAGGGCTGAGCTCCGTGGCATTGGGAGACAAACCAGCCCGTCAGCTGCATCATCTGGTTTAGACAGCTCATGCACGTCTTGTTTTAGGAAGCCCATATCTTTTCAGCTATGTTTGTTCATTGCCTGGAGATCTTCCTCCTGCAAATTGTAGAGCCCCAGAGAGAACCATCCCCTAGGACCTCACTATGCACCACCCAGTAACTCCTTGCACTGAGCTCCAGGTAATTGTGTACTTTCTCTCTCCCCCACAGCCCAGTTTAACGGCAACGAGAAACGGCAGTCATCCCCCTCGCCTTCCCGGGACCGGCGGCGCCAGCTTCGAGCTCCTGGAGGGGGCTTCAAGCCCATCAAACATGGGAGCCCCGAGTTCTGTGGGATCCTGGGAGAGAGAGTGGATCCTGCTGTCCCTCTGGAGAAGCAAATGTAAGTTTTCAGGGAGCAAAGCCCAATCCCAGCAACCAGTTCACGGAGTCACTGTCAAGACTAGAAAGTCAGGCCACCGACGAGTCTGGCCAGTCGGAATGAGAACTTGCGTCACCTGATTCCTAGCCCTGTGCTTTCTCTCTCCACACTGTATGGCCTCCCTTACTTTGGATGACTAGTAGGAAGGACTGTGAAATTGTCTACATCTTACATCCTCCTTTCAAAGCTCATCATGCAGCAAATTTTTGAAAAGCTAAATGTATACTAAATCCTGCCCCCTAATTGTAAATTAGATTTATTTTTAAGCTACAATGATGTTTTTGCCCCACGTCTGCTTGGTTGCACACCTTGACACTCTTGATTTGGGTTTTCTCCAGAGACTTTCCAGCTTCAATCAGCAGCCTAGTCCCATCCCTGCTGCACCTTTCCCTCCCTGCTTCTCCCCAGCACTGCTGGTCCATTTTTACTGCCCCTTCCCTAGATCGTGATGATCATCTCCCTCTTCTGCTGGAGTCTCAGGTCCCTGCTCTGCTCTTACACCTTCAGTGGCTCCCCATCACCTCCAGGATAAAGTCCCATCTCCCAAGACTGCCCCTCGCCCTGTGAATTGCCCCCAGACTGCTTTTTCAGTTTCTCGCCCTTCCATATACCAGCCCTAGAGTGAGATTCTCCAGAGACTTAAAAGTGCAGGCCCTGAATCTTGTGCTGATACCATCAGATGTATCACCCTCTTAACAAGCGAATGCGGGATAAATGGGGTTATCACTGAAAATGAGAAAATTGGGGCCCCAAGAGGTGCAGGGCCTTGGCTAGGATCTCAAGGGTCAGAGTGCAGAGGGAGGTAGGATTTGAACCCCAGCCCCATGACTCAACTCCCACCCTCTCCCCTTACTTCCCGCCTGTACATACTTCTCCCCAATCCTTAGCAAACAGCCGGCACAGAGTAGGCACTCAGTAAGGCCGAGAGATTAGCTGCCACCCAGCCGCTTCCCCGTGAGACTGCATCCCGTGCATTATGTACTATATTAGTCTCCACCCCTGGGATTCTGGTCTCGGCCCGGCCGGCAGTGCATCCCTCACAGGAAATGCTCGCTCGGTGAGCAGGATGCAGGGTTTTCCGAATGATGTCATGTGCTCATGTGCCCCTTTTTAAGCGTATGCTGCAGCCTCCTTTGTGACGGCCCTGTGCCTGCTGTACCGAGCGTGGGGGGTAGCGCTCCCAGCGGGTGTTGTGTTAATCACTTCCCACAGCCACGCAGATTGGGTGGCAGGTTTTGCTTATTTCTGATCAAACTGTGTACTTTTAAATCAACAAACAAAATATGATACAGAGATGCCTGGGAACTGGGAGCTGTTCAGTGTGCATCCTGAGCCAGGTCTGCCTGGGGTCAGCGGCCCAGCCTACCCTCTTCCCAACCCTGGGCAGGACTTCGAGGGCCCCCGGAGGGCAGTTCTGCTGCCTTTTCTTTCCTACTCCCACCCAACAAGGCCCTTGGCCAAGTCCAGAGTCATGACTGGCTTTTCCTCCCCCGTCGTCTCATCTCCCCAGGATTATTCTGGCCTGCTGGAGGCCCTGACTCATCACTGAAGAGGTGTGCTTAGGTAAGACCTGACCCAGGCAGAGAGCTTCTCCTAATTCCCAATCTGGGTGGATGCTTCCTCCAAGTTCCAGCTTCTCTCCCCCCAGCACAGGGGAGAGGGACATGGGGACACTGAGGTGTATGCCCCAGTCTTAGAGGATTGCTGAGGATGGGCAGTTACATATCTGCCCGGGCACCCAGATCACCTGTTTTCCCTCCTACAACAGTGGAAGGGCTGCTCAGGTACTCAGGGGTGCCTGCTTCCTCCATCCTGCATCGTTATTACCATTATATTCTGGTCATGAACTTCTTAAAGCAAATAAATAAGTTAAATAATATTGACTCAACATCCCCCTCTGACTTCAGCCCCTGTTGGGAACATAAGCTCCGTGAGGACAGGAGCTTGTCTGGGACACCACTGCATCTTCAGTGCCTAGAATGGTGCCTGGCACATAACAGGTGCTCAGGGAGTAGCTCGCTGTCCATGCAATGGTCTGTGTTCCCAGAGAGCTGTCAGTACTTTCTCTCTCCCTTCCGTTGTCTCCCACTCTCATCCACAGTCTGCTTCCCTTTTCTACCCGGGTCACCAGGTGACTTCTGTCCTCCATGGCCGTCAGCACAGTAAATAGCCCCCTCCTTCGGAGATACTCTTTGCTCCTGGTTTTTCTGCTGCCTCCCCAGCGCTCCTTGCGTCTCCCCCGCTGGCTCCTTGCCTCAGCTTGAGCTGAAGGTTCGATTGTCTGGGGCTCAGTTTCCAACTACGTGCTCTCCCTGGTTGGTCTCCTTGGGATCTTGGCAGTGATTCACAAGTGCGCATCCCCAACCCACACCTCTCCCAGAACTCCCGACTCCTACATGCAGCTGCCTTCTTGGCATCTCCACTTGGCTGACGAGTGGGCATCTTGAATTTAACATGTTCAGAACTGGACTCCTGAACTTCTCCTGCATACCTGCTCCTCCCCAACTTGCCCACCTCCACAAACGGCATCACCTCTACCCAGTTGCTCAAGACACAACCCTGGAGTCACCTTGATTCCTTTGTTTGCGTGACACCAGCATCTAGTGCATTACTAAGTTCTGCCAGTTTTCCAACCAAAACAGCCCGAATTCATCCATTCTTCTCATCTCAGGTCCTCCTGTCCGGACCACAGCAGAAGCTTCCTCACTTGTCTCCTTCTTCACTTCCACTATGGCTGCTCTTCAGGGCAGCCTGACGAACCCTTTTGTAAGATCATCCAGAGCAAGTATCTGTTAAGCATCTCTGTTTAAAACTCTCGTTGCCCTCCCTATAACTTAGAATGAAATCAGACTTCTTCCCTTGGTCCACAAGGCCTCAGGGAGCTGGGCCCTGCCTCCTGCTCCATCCTCATCCCCTGCCACTTCCCCCGCTCACAGTGCTGGACCATTCTTGCTGCCTTTCTGCTCCATGAACATCCCAGGCTCATTCCTACTTCAGGATCTTTGCACTTGATGGCTCTGCAGAGAACATATTTTCTTTGGCTTATTACATGATTGGCTCCTTCTCAAATGCAGATTCTCAGGTCAAATGTCATCTCCTTGGGGGGCCTCTGTCCATTCATTTTATAGAGAGCATCTCCCCCTCCCCAGTCACTGCCTTATCACAAACCCAGTATTCCTACATGGCACTTACCTATATAAATTGTTTCCTGAATCTGTCTGTTGACTCTTCATCTCCCTGCGTGAACCCTGTGGGATCAAGGATGTAGTAAGTGGTGAGTAAATATTGGATGAGCTCATAGGTATTGGATAGGCTGCATGGTGATGATTGAGTCTTCTTAATCCCCGTGGTTCCGCCATGAGTGATCAGCTCTGCAGAGTCCAGCACATCCCCACGAGGGCCTCCTGCCTCTGCCTAGTTTCTCTTCTGGGTCCGGCAAAGCCTTCTGGGGCCCAGGGCTTCCCCGCCCCAGTGAACAGGACCACCCAGGCCCATCCTGTCTCCCGCTGGCCATACTTCTGCTGACAGTCTGGCCACTGGCTGCTCCCCCTACCCAATCTAGTGTCCTTTGCCCCTTCTCTCCCAAACTCCTCTTGGTTCACCTTTGATCCTTGCCCCCGAGGCCCTGCCTTTCTCTCCATGTGGAGCACCCGGGAGGGAACAAGCAGCTTGTCCCATTTACCCACCAGGGATTACCCTCAGTGAGGCTCCGGACCCCCTGGAGGCCCATTTGCCACTGCCTCTTAGGGCCACTTGCTCCTGTGCTCAGGGAGGGCAGACGCAAGCGACTCTTCCCCGGAGGCCACTTCTAGGCCTTTCCCTGAGGACGGCTCTGCTTTAAGTAGCTGGAACTTGTTTTCCTAATAAAAAAGTATTTTTGTCAGCTCGCTGGGGGTATGTTACATAGGTGAAATTTCCCAGAAAACAACCTTGGCAAAACTACTAACTCTTATTTCTAACATCAGCTCCATCCTTGTCTAACCATTTCTCTCACTGACAGTCATGTGTCCTTTCTCAAGCATACCCTCAGCCTTCATGTCTTTGGGGGTGTCTTAATTATGGCAGCCCTTGCAGTCCCCAGCTTCACATCCTCTCAATATCTGTGTAAGTGTAGACAGGAAGGCAGGTGTGCAGTCTGCGTCTCCCCCTGCCTTTTCCCTTGGCGAGTCTCACTCCAGATGTCCAGCCCCGGGGCTGACCTGCTATGAGTAGTCACCTCCTGGGTGGTCAGTGACTCAGTCACATGCTCATTGGACAGGGACACTCATCCTTCTCACTCTCCAGTCCTTGCTTTCCTAGAGCTCATTGGGTTGGTTTTTTTTTTTTTAAGTTATAATTATGTCATCCCCACTGCTGCTAACTGTTCAGAGCACTGCCTTATAAATAACAAAGTGCAGAGAAAGGCAGTGCGAAGCTTTTCTCCAAGCAGAGTGTCTATAACAAAACTCTCAGGGGTACTGGGCACATTCGCAGGGCACTCCTGGGCCAGGGTGAGGAGGCAGCATCCCCTATGCCCCTGGGAGTTTAAAATGCAGCCTGCACGGCAGGTAGCAGCCTGAAATAACGATAGCTGGAGAGGTGACCCTTGGCTGCCTGCCTGCAAGTGCAGTCTCTTTCTGCTGATGCTTGTAGCTGCCATTTGTTGAAACTCACCCCATCTCAGGCTCTGCATCAGTCCTTCAGTGCATCATCCCATTTAATCCTCACAACCCCAAAACAGGGGTGGAGTGATCCTAACTTGATAGGGAACCTAGGTGCACCCGGGTTCAGCTGCTTGAGTCACATGCCCAGCTGGCCAGTGGCACAGCTGCATGTGTGCCTCAGTGGCTGAAGTGTGATCCATCCTAGGCCATCCAACACCTCTGGTTCTCTTCCTGACCCCATCTCTGGACACCTTCCCCCTAAGCCAGCCACTCTGAGACCATAATGTAAACAGAGACACATTCGGAGTATATCCACTGACCAGCATCTTAGGATCTTCAGTCTTCCACTGAAATTTTACCTTCAGCTTTCCCAGTCTTGAAAGTCAGCATTTCCCCCTTTGTCCTGCATTTGGGGCCTTAGGCATCTGCCGTGGTGCCCCTCCCTTCTGATTCTGCCGATCACCACGTGGTGTCCAGAAGCAGTGACACTGGGATTCCGTGTGCCCAGCTGATGCCAGATGCACTTGGCAGGAGTGTTGGCGTGGCCACCCCACCCCAACTGCCGGCTTTCCTGAGTGAGGAGCACCGCCTATTTGTCCCACAGATGTCACAGAGCCAGCACATGTCCCTCCTGTCAGGCCCTTTGACAGCTTCCACGTCACTCAGAGAGAGCTGGAGTCCTCCCACTGCCTTGTGCACCCGGCCCTGCCACACGGCCTCTAATGTCCCACCACCCGTCCTGGCCCCTGCCTTACTCCAGCCCAACTGGCCTCCTTGCTGTTTCCAAAACACGCCAGGGGCTCCTGCCTTTGCTGCCCTTTTTTCTGCCAGATATGCTCTCTTCCAGCTGCTGTCCTTCGTGGCTTCCTCCCCCACCTCCTTCAGGTCCCCGCTGAAATGTCACTCTCCACAGGCTTCCCTGGCTGCTGCTTAAACTAGTGGTCCCTCCCTCCAGCTCCAAGCCAGACGCCTCTGCTCCATTTCCTCCGTAGCACCCACATTAGACTGTAAGCTTCGAGGGGAGGAGACCACAGATTTGTTCACTGTTCTCTCCCCAGGACCTACATGCAGCAGGCACTTGGTCGATGTCTAGTGTATGACTGAATCCATGAACATACGTGCACAAGCACGCACACGTGCACGCGCACATGCGTGCACTTGCACTGCCTCGTGACAAGGAGGCCTGGGACACCAGCAGCTGCCCTCCAAGGGGGCTGAGTCTCCTCGAGGAGGAACAGATTTTTGGGTGTCAGCTGTAGGGGTCTGTCCCCACTGGGTTCTGACCCCCTCTCTTCTCCACAGATGGTATCATGGAGCCATCAGCAGAGGAGACGCCGAGAACCTGCTGAGACTCTGCAAGGAGTGTAGCTACCTTGTCCGGAACAGCCAGACCAGCAGGCATGACTACTCCCTCTCCCTGAAGTGAGTACACCTCAGCCACCCCCGGGGCCCTCAGCAGCCCCCAGCGACGCGCAGCCCGGCCCTGGTGTCTGTGGCAGAAAGACCCGCCAGTTGTCCCCCTGGGAAATGTGCCAACATGAGTTATTTCAAGCCTCGCTTTCCAATTTAATCTTATTCTCCTGGGATGCAGAGGAGTTTTCATGTTCTCTGTTTCTGGCTCCCCAGAAGAGGGGGGGCATTTCCCTAGGACTGATATTAAATATCCAAGAATAGCTTTCACATCTGTGGTGAGCCGGGGACTGTAGAAGCTCCTAGCATGCTTCGTCCTTCTCTCAAACCTCACAACAGCCCTTTGATGAGAAACATCTTGTCCCCATTTTACGGATGAGGAAACTGAAGCCATGGCTGGCCCGAGGGGCAGGACCAGGACTCGAGGCTGGGTGTTGCCATGAGAACCATCCTTCCCTTATGTCCTAGGTTGATGTTAGGGACGGTCTGATTTTTATGTGTCACACGAAGGTTGTGAGAACACTGGGAAGAGCCAGTAAGAATCCTGGTGCTATCACCCATGGCCGCTTTGTAAGCTGTCAGGTCTTCCTGACCCACGAGGCTTTGCTATCAGGATAGGTGGCCCTGAAATAAGAAGAGGTTTTTTTGGTTGAGTGCTTCATCATCTGGTGCTGTTATTGGATGGAAGCCAACAGATTGTCTAAAACCCATTTTACAGATAAGGAAAACAGGTCCAGAGAGAGGAGGGATTTCCCAAAGATACACAGAGAGTTAGTGACACAATTGGGGTGTAAACCCAGGCCCTTCAGCCAGCACAGACCACCAGGATCAGTGCAGCCCTCTGCCTGCTTTCTTTCTGCTCTACTTGCTGTTATTAGAGGCTGTGTGATGCAGAGAGAGCCTGCTGGGATGCGGCTGTCAGGACAGCTCACGTGTAGGCCAGGCTGTGTAGACAGTAGGATCAGTGCAGCCAAGAAGAAAGACTGGCCTGTGCTCTCTGCTCAGGACTGATCCCCCTGAGAGGGACAGTGACAAAGTGCAGAGCAGAGCATGGGCAGGAAACAAGAGGCCCTGGAAGTCCTCCTAGAGGAGAGAGGATGTGCAGAGACATGGGGGAACCACAGATCCCTCAAGGACTGTCAGGGCAGAAGGCGCACACGTGGTTGGCAGCCCCTAAATCAGGGAGTTGTGAGAGGCCGAGTCTTCTAAAGGTCAGAGTTGGTCAGGAATTAGAACGATCCAAAGCTGCTGCAAGAGGTAGTGAGTGTCTCATCCCTAGGGGTGTGCAACCAGGAGCTGGGTACCCACCTGGCCAGAGAGGACATGGAGGGGATTTCTAACCAGCTGGGAGGGCACTTGGGACAAACAGCATCTGCATACCTCTTTGTCCACCATCAGGCCTGACGGCTTAAAGAACCAGGCTGGTTATTGCAGCCGAGGAAAATTCAATATGCTAAACTGTGGCTGGGCCGGAGGCGGCCGAAGCCAGAGGATTGTCACTGCATTGAGAGGACAGCGGTGGGGGACAGGCGCACCGTGCTGCCAGGGGTCTTCAACTCCCCATTGCTCCACGCAGCCCCATCCCTCCCTTGCTGTTTAGGTAACCTAGCAACCCAGGTGCCCATGAGTGATGCTTCTAGGTCTTCACCTTCCTGCCTCAAGGTGAATCACTCCTTTCTGGGCTGCAAGAAGTAAAGGAAGCAGATGACATCAGAGATGGGACTCCCGTGTCACCACCCTTCCCCACCAACCCAGGCATCCTGCCCACCCCTGGGCTTCCTCACGGTCATCACACTGGCAGTCTCTGAGTTCCTCAGGGAACCCCATTCTTCCTGGAATCCTGTCGGCTGAGGCCAGGCCAGAGGGGTCTTCCCGAGAGGACTGACTGAATGCATGGAGGAGGGGTGAGGCGCCCATGTCAGACCCAGTCATTCTCCATGAGGGCCACGGCCTTGTCACGCTTCTGTTTACTCACTGGGGAAGGGCTGGGCCCCGGCACTGGGCAGGCCCCACTGGACCCCACCATGGCCCTGCCTGCAAGAGAGCAGCAGCCTCCCGAGCACCCAGGACGTATCAGGGCTGAGGAGGCAGCGCAGGAGCATATACAGAATCTCGAGCCCATGGCAGAAGTACTCATACCGGCAACACCTGCGTGGTCCATTCCTCAGTGCCCTGTGCCCGTGCCCTCCGTTATTCGAAAAGGCCCAAACGCCAGCTCATAGAGGGGGCTTCAGAAGAGTGTTTCTGTCCCAGTCCTAAGAGCGTAATTCCCTTTTAGTCCCTGGTTTGTGCCCTTCCCTGGACAGAAGCACTCTTGGGATGGACAGCACCTTGATTCTGTTCTGTTCTATAGCAGGCTTATAGTCCAGGGGTCAGGCTTCCCCACTCCCTGGCCTTGTGTTGGCAGCCACGTCACCTCTCTGAGCCTCAGTGTCCTCTTCTGGGCAGGGGAGGTGATGATGCTCTCCTTACAGACAGAAGGCATCCCTGGCCCAGCCTGTGCAGGGTAAAAGTTACCTTGTATTATTCCTACCCTGCCCCTGCTTTCCCGGGTCAGCCCTGCAATTTCATTGAAAGCCATTTTTTAAAGCTGCAGAAAAGACCTGTTGCCCAGAGTTCTGGACAGGAGAGCTGTCCTGCCACTCACGGCTCACTGTGTGACCTTAGATGAGTTTCTTCCCTCTGGGGCTCAGCGACCACATCTGCCAGGTGAGATTTAGACTTTGATGGTTGCTAAAGGCCTCTCCACCTCTGCCATCAAGGTGTCTCTGACTCCTCGGATTTCCCCTGCCAGTGGGCTCAGCCACCCTTGGTCCTCGAAGTGCTCTGGTCGCACTCCCTGCACTCCCAGGCGAGGGGAGGAGGTTGAGGAGCCTGAGGGCACAGCCCAGGGGCCTGTGCTGGGACCCCGGACAAGAGCACTGTGTCGTCAGGCCCGGGTTTGTCTTCCTGCACCTGTCTTGTCAGGCCTCATTATCGGGAACTGCAATTGGGAGGATTGGTCTCTGCCCGTGGGTGCTGGAGGTGGCGGGTTTAGTTTTTCGTGCTTGTCTAGAGCCATTAGATCCCAAGCACCAGAGAGGTGGTCTCACCTGGCTAGTTTTCCCTTGAAGAAGCCCAGAACTGGGGAGGAGGGCTAGGCCATCCCATGGCTGGCCAGAGCAGCCCACTAAGGGGAGATAGGCTTGTTTCTCAGAGCAGCCCCAGTTCCCAATGACCAGTCAGGCCTGCCAGCCAGGGAGCAACACCTGGTATTCATCACCTTGACCACAAATGGAGCTGCCTTCTTACTGAATATCCCAACTGCTTGGGGCAAGTGCCAACTTTGCCTGCCACCACAGGAGGTGCGAGGTCTCTCAGATCGCAAGACCTGCCTGGTTGGGGCAGGGTGGTGCGTGGCATTCCCCATGTGTGGTGTTGTTAGGAGTGCAGTGCAAATTGACTTTGGAATTCCAGCTATGTTATCATGTGAACCTTGGGTCCTGCTGTGAGGGTATTCTAGGTGGAGAAAGGGTTTGGGGGAGTCTGGCCTCAGAGGACAGGGCCCCTCCACCCCTTCTGTCCTGCTCTCGGCAGATATTTATCAGAGCCCTCCGTACCAGGCACTGGGCTGGGCAGCAGAGAGAGCAGAGGTGAGGACAGCCTGGCCCAGGCTGCAGAGCTCCCAGGCTGGGCCTTGTTGCTTACTGCAAGGCGGAGGTGCTCTTGAGCCTTAAAGAGAGGGTAGATGTTCCCCAGGCAGGGACAGTTGGTGGGCATTTCAGGTGGAGGAGACAGCCCAGGCAAGGCCCTGCAGCTGTGGAAGAGCCCAGGCAAGGCTCACACCCTGCAGAGAAGCTGAGACTTAGTTGTGAGTGCTGGGGCCACTGAAGCGTGGGATCCACTCTCGGGCACCCGCCCGAATGCTTCAACCCCTCTTCCACCCTACACATCCGCAGCACTTCATGATTTAGAAAGCCTGCACGTTCAACTAGGGACAGCCCCACAGGGGGGCCAGGGCAGAGATCACCATCCTCGTCCTCACCTTGGGGTAGAGGAAGCTGACGGACCAGCCAAGACTGGAGTGAAGGCAGTAGAATCCAGCCCAGTGTGCCTCCACCCACTTCCAGGCACTCCTTACACTTGTCAGAAGGTCGTCAGTGTTGAACCAGTCCCTTTGCTTCGTGGGTGTGGAGACTGAGACCCAGAGGGGATTCATGACTGACCAGCCACCCAGCTGGCAGCTGACCACCCACCCAGCTGGCAGCTGACCACACAGACAATAGAGATGGTGACTTCTTCCCAGTCTGGGGACCAGACAGATCCCTGGACCAGCCCAAGCTGCCCCTTCTCTGAAAACCCCCTGCACCCATGGCAATCCAAGACAGCACCTGCCTTCCCCACGTCCTCACCTCTGAGTCCCTATCATGGCAGGCACCCCTACTCGTGAAGCAGTCTTACAAAGGTCCTGCCTCATGGCTTTGGAACACTGCCCTCCCCACCTCCTCCTGCAGAACACTCCCTCTTCCCATCTCAGGCCTGACCTGATGGGTGTCAGGCCGTTGGCACCCTCTCAGCTACCAGCACCAGCCATTGACTTCTGGTACAGTCACTCCATCCTCAGGGAAGCAAAGTGTTGAGCTTTTAGAAATTGGCAAGAAAACATCACTCTCTAACACAATTTGCTGTCTGGAAAGGCAAGTGGGGAAAGGGGATGAAAAGTCTTGAAAAATCTCGTCAAAAGGGTTCTTTAGGCACTTTAGACTGAAAATGACTCTTTGCAAGTTCTAGTTTCGAGAGTTTTTGCAAAGGAATCTAGACAAGATGAGGGAAACAGAATTTCAAAGACTGAAGGATTTGCATCTGAAGGGCAGGGAGGCAGGATGAGCACCAGGGCCTCCTTGTAGGCAGATTAGGCCCTGCCGCCTCTGGGCCCATCCCTGGGAGGGGAGCAGGCAGAGTGGGCCTTTGAGGCCTCAGCTGGGATGCCACTGCTCTTTTGACAAAGGCCCAGCCCAGCTCTGTTTAGGCAT